GCAATCCAGCTCCCTGTTAAGGCCTGGGAAAGCAGCGGAGGATGGCCTAAGGGCTTGGGCCTCTGCACCCATGTTGGAGACCCGGATGAAGCTCCTGGCTCCAGGGTTTGGCCTGGCCCAGCCTCAGCCATTGAAACCATTTGGGGAGTGAATCAACAGATGGATGATTTCTCTTTCTTTCCTCTCTGTTAACTCTGCCTTTCAAATAAGTAAAATAAGTCTTAAAGAAAAAAGAAACAGGATTTCCTAGTTTTCAGCCTTGTCCTCATGTGTTTGTGACAATGAGAGGGAATGGTAGAAAGCTGTGTCTTCCTTTCTCAGCCGCTCCATGACCAGCTGGATATGAAGATGGAAAGGTGAGAAAGGTACCAAGATGATCGAGTTTATTACTGTAATGTGCAAAGAGCTTATCACCTTTCTCAAGGCCTTGGTGAGTTCTCCCATTGTAGGGACTGACTAAATGTCTTTACTTCTTAGTTCTCAAAGGAAGAAAGTGGATAGAAACAGGGAATAAATTAAATAAGCTAGTTTAGTAACAAATCAGACACAAGGGCTCAGTATTGAATCTCAAATAATATTTTACACCTGAAAATGATGGTGGTAGAACGGTAAATGCCAATTAGAGAGAGTTTCGGTTCCAATGTCAATGTAAATACTGTTTTCTTGATGCTTTTGGCCCTTGGCTAAGTTGTAGATTAATAGGCATAGAAATACATCCAAAATTACCGATGATAGGCAAAACAGCACCTTGAAAGAAAGTTGATATGAGACAAATGCTGCTAAGCCATGAGAATTGCACACAGGAAGAAAATATCAGCAGAATTAAGTAAGCCTGGTTGTAAGGGATGAATTTGCTTTGGTACTGAGATTTACAAACTTCTCATTCTCAGATTCTTAAAAGAAATGTTGATTTTTTAAAAACAATATTTGAGAGGCAGACACATACACACACACAGTGGTGGGGTGGGGGGCGAGGAGAGAGAGAGAGCTCCTATCTACTATTTTATTCCATGAATGGCTCTGGTTCTGGCCAAGACAAAGGCAGGACTCAGAAACCCAGTCTGGGTCTTCCACATGGGTGGCAGAGACTCAGCGACTTGAGTATCATAACTGCTTCCCAGGGTGGGCATCAGGATGAAGTTGGAATAGGGAGCAGAACCAGGACTCGAACACAAGAACTATGATATACTACTTGGGTGTCCCAAGTGAGTCTTAACTGCTGCACCAAATGCCTACCATTAATTTTTTAAAATAAAGCTGGAAATCCTCAGAGTTAAACCCTTTCTTAGATCTTTGAAAAGTCAGCATATGATTTGGGGTGGCTTGCATACTTTTCTAGAGAATATAATTGCAGTCTCTCATGACATCACAGAAGAAACCACTGATATGCAGAAACTTCTCAAATCTTGGAATTTGTCAGCACACTGAGTACACAGTCTGTGGTACGAGGTTAGATGTATTGGGGCCAGTGCTGTGCCATAGCAGGTAAAGCTGCCACCTGCAGTGCCGGCATCCCTTATGGGCACCGGTTCGAGTCCTGCTGTTCCACTTCTGATCCAGCTCTCTGCTATGGCCTAGAAGGCAGTGGAAGATGGCCCAAGTCCTTGGGCCCCTTTACCTGCATGGGAGACCTGGAAGAAGCTCCTGGCTCCTGGCTTTGGATCGGCACAGCTCCGGCCATTTTGGACACCCGGGGAGTGAACCAGTGGATGGAAGACCTCCCTCCCTCTCTCTCTCTCTCTCTCTCTCTCTGCCTCAGCCTCTCTGTAACTTTGCCTTTCAAATAAAATAAATCTTTAAAGAAAAGTTAGATGTATTTACATAAGAAAACCAGATAGACTGAACTGATTAATCAATTCAGTCAAGAAAACAGTAGAATTTTTATTCCAAGTTATATTGAAATTGACCAATTCAACTGGATTGACAATATAGGTCAGCAGTTTTCGTGATATATTAACATTTTCCAATTGTCTTTATCATTTAAAATGATGTAGAGTCAATTTGTAGCCCAATAGGAACAAAGTAAATGCTTTTCCTATAAACCCAATACCAAAACATGGTATAGTATGAATAATTTGGTTCTAAACGAATCAATAACAACAAAAAAACCATTTTTTCTAGTATCAGATCCTTTACCAAAACTGTCTTGAGAATTTGAGATTTTTTGTCTTTGGAGCCTCAAACATAATTAAAAAGTAATAGGTGATTCCTCTCTCACTCTCTTGTTCTTTCTCCCTCCCCCCACTCCACCTACCCTGTTCCAAATAAATAATGATTTAAAAAAATTCCCAGAGTAGATAAATTTCTCTGAATATTTTTTGTTGTTGATGGTGAGATTAGAGGTAACAAGTTGTTTATACTTTTATATATTTTCAAATTTTCTAAAATAAATTTATTACTTTTTAGTTAGACAAAAATAACATTGAGTGTTAAAAAAAAAAGGGACAGGTATGGCTTTGTGACTAGAAAAACACTCCCAGAATTTGAAGCAATCTGGTAAGGCTTGGAGGCAAAACACGGAAATCTGACTACACTCGAGGAGTTCGCCAGATAGCGGTACTCGACTGCCAGTTTCGCTTGTGCTGTATTACACACTCTCTGCCACTGTAGCAAGCTGTCTTTTCACAAGGCAAGCGGTGCCAGAATGTTGTACTGATTGCCCATCAATGTGCTTACGATGAAATGAAGAAATGGAGTGAAGAGTTTTTCTTTTCATTATGAACCCAAATATTCAGAGAAATTTATCCCTTCTGGGAATTTTTTTTTTAATCATTATTTATTTGGAACAGGGAAGGCGGGGTGGGGGGAGGGAGAGAGTGAGAGAGAGAGAGAGAGAGAGAGAGAATCACCCATTGGCTGGTCCACTCTCCTAATGCTTATAACAGTTACAGCTGGGCCAGGCTGTTGTGGGGCACACAGATTAAAAGCACAGCAAGACTTTGGAGGTCAAATTAGGAGTCTGTATTAGCCAGCTGGTGACTGCCTTCTCACAGAGCAAGTCCGGAGAAGGCAGCCCCGAGTTGAAGAGGTGGGGGTTTTTAAAGGCAAGACCTCTTCTTCTTATCAGTCATTTAATCGCACATGTGGGCTTGTGCAAGCAGAAAGCAGGCATACAGAAGCGAGAAGCTGTTAGCCAATCAGCCAGTTTCTTTTTAATTTTTTTTTTCTTTGAAAAATATAATGATTCAATTGTTCCCGGTCAGGGTCAGGCATGGCGTCAGTGACCTTGGTGCCACCTGTGTTATCCTGTGGCTGTAGCCGGGAGAAGGCAGGAGGAACCGTAGTCTGGTGGCCTTGGCCATTATCAAGCAAGCAGAGGTATGGATGCCAGAAATGGGCCAGTTACAAACTAACATTTATTTTTATGAAGAACAGGTCCTGCTTTTAAAACAACCAAGCAAAATTACCCATAGTCTATAACCACCTGGGGGCATGTTATACCTTGTAGACAATTTAAACTTTTGGGTCACCTGTCACAAGGCCAAAGCCAGAAGCCAGGAACTCAGTCCTCATCTCCCACACGGGTGACAAGGACCTGATTATCTGAACCATCACCTGCTGAACTACTAGTGTGTGCCATTAGCAGGAAGCTAGAGCTGAGGACAGAGCTGGAAATTGAACCAGGCACTCTGATATTCTATGCAAGAGTCCTGAGGAGCCAAATGCCCAAGCCTGGGATGTATGACTTTGATTAACCCTGACTGGGAATTCAGAGGGGGATTGCTCTATTATAAAGAAGGGATTTGCTGAGCAAACACAACTGCTGGGGTCAGATTTAAGGTGCTTAACTGACTTATTTTGAAGTCCAATTAAACCCTTCAGAGGCTCTATTTATCTTCAAACATCTGATTTGTTGGTTGCAAACTCATTTAGCCTGTATTCATAAAGAAAGTTATATAATTTGACATCTTCCACATTTATTCAATAACTCAGGTTTTTCAAAAATTTTGACCAGTTCTATTTCTAGCCCCAATCTATCGAAATGACTATGTCTTGCCATTTGAATTTACTGCTATATTAGTTTACTGACAGAGATAGACAAACCACGCCTCTCTCAGCTGTTTCAGATGAAACTGTAGATTAAGGTGTAAACTTGCAATGCACTGTTTAGCTGGAAAGTTATGGGGAGCAGGTGATGGAAGAGATAACTTTCACTGTTTGGACTAAAGTCAATTTTGAAGCAGCTCAAGATGTCTTTTGAATTCTGGATCGTGGTGTGTGTGTGTGTGTGTTGGAGAGAGAGACACAGAGAGAACTCTTTATATTGCAAACAGCTAAAGATATAGGTGGTAACACAAAGTCACATCTTTATACCTAGGCCTGCTGAGTAGTGGGAGTGGCCAGATGCTGCACTGATGTTTTAAAAAAAAATTTTTTTTTGACAGGCAGAGTGGACAGTGAGAAAGAGAGACAGAGAGAAAGGTCTTCCTTTGCCGTTGGTTCACCCTCCAATGGCCGCCGCGGCTGGCGCGCTGCGGCCAGCGCACCGCGCTGCTCCGATGGCAGGAGCCATGTGTTTCTCCTGCTCTCCCATGGGGTGCAGGGCCCAAGCACTTGGGCCATCCTCCACTGCACTCCTGGGCCATAGCAGAGAGCTGGCCTGGAAGAGGGGCAACCGGGACAGAATCCGGCACCCCGACCGGGACTAGAACCCGGTGTGCCGGCGCCACTAGGTGGAGGATTAGCCTAGTGAGCCGTGGTGCCGGCCTTTAAAAATTATTTTATTACTAATGGTTTGTGATGTTTTTAAAGGTAAGTTAGATGTATTCATGAAAATGCAAAGGATCAATTTAAAATCCACATCAAGTGCACCAAAAGGGAACTGGAAATAGAAGTTTTAATGCCCTCTGATGTTTAAATAAATTGGCAGCCGAAGAAACAGTCTTAGTCAACATATTTCCAAGTCCCCCTGAACACAAATAGCCTCAAACCTTCAGGGTTGTTCCTTTCAGCTGTTTCATCAGTGACATCACAGTGTCACCTCCCTTGGACTACTTTAGGCCCTGCCCAGAGCCCAGGAGTCCACACAGCCTGGGAGATGAGCCGGAGTTGGAGCCAGAGTTGGAGAAAGTAAGGAGAAACCTACAGCAGCCAACGTGTGTCCTTGACCTTCTTCAGGTAACAGCAAGGTTTTTAGGCTTAGCATAGGGTGCGTGTGTGTGTGTGTGTGTGTGTGTGCAAGTTTTAAATGAGAAAGGCAGAATGTTTACATATCTTAATAAAATAGGCAATACCTACCTTAAGATGTAAAGTCATTCCTATTTTCTTCATGCATGTTTCTCCTTCCGATAGTTACAAAACTTTTTTTATAGCACAGAAGAAAGTCTTTAATTTTCTCAAAGACTCCATTGATTCCAAAGTCAAACTTCCTGTCCAATTTATTCATAGATTTTTGGTTTTCAGTTCATCCATATGGCAATCTCTTTGGATCATATGGCATGAACTTGACTTCAGGAAAGGTTTAAGTTGAAGCCAATAGAACTTGATTGATCTGGATTTTTGCCTAAATTTGGATATTCCTAAAAGGCATAAATGTGTGTGTGAGTAAAGTCTACAGTTAATTGTGAGCACACATATTGAAAGAAATGGATTCTTTAGAAATTGTCATCTTAACTGTGTTCTAGTCATTTAAAGAATACACGAAATAATAAATACTTAAGTTCACCATCAAAGTGCAAAAAATAGTAGGAGGTAAAGCAGAGGAAAGAAAGAATAATAATAGATAGCCTGTCAATTCAGAGATGACTATAAAGCAATATGAAGAACACATAAAACATATACAGTTTAAGACATAATTTTAGGGTATCAATTGTATAGCTGTCACCCAGGGCAGGAAGCAGTTCCTTGTTAGCATCCCAGAAATCTGTGCCAGATTACCTCCCCTGCTGTCCCAAGATGTTGAGATCATCTTGTCCTGGTTTTTATTTAAAGTTTTACTAACCTCCTTAATATTGCGATAAAGTTCCATGTTTTTTATGTTAAATAGATGGAGTCATTTTGTTCTCTTGCAAACTATCTTACACCCAACAATTATATTTCTGAGATCCACACATTTTTGTTTTGTGTAGCTATAACTGAAATCCATGTATTTTATTTCTACTCTAGTATTAAAATGTATGAATATGCCAAGTTCTACTATTAACGAACATCTGTATTATTTCCAATTTGGGATTATTGTGAAAATGTTTCTGTGAATACCCTTGTATATGTGTCCTGGTGCGTATGCACTTAAGCGTCTGGGGTGGAAGTAAAATTGTTAGATACTAGGAGATGAGCATTTTTAAGCTTCAAAAATGTCAAATAGTTTCCCAAAGTGGTTGAAAATTCACACTAATTTTGTTTATTCAGACTAGTTCTTCGCCAGTGATAACTCTTTCTTGTAATCACTCCTTTGGAGTGACCACAATCCTAGTAACTAGTTCCAGTCAGCCATTCCTAGGCCTGCCTCTAATTTGCTGCCTTTAATGTGCCACCACACAAACAACTTAACCATTCTCTAAAAGTTATTTTTTTCCAGCTGTAATCTTGGGGGAGATAAAAATCACAATAATACTTATGTGAGTTTTTGTGAAGATAACAAAAGCATTTTTCTTATTTCCTGTTAGGCCATCATCCAAGACTCCCTTTACTTAAGAGCTTAATTTAAACAGCAGATTTGGTGGAGCAATTATTTTCCTCCCCCTGAATTGGGTTGTTTTGATCATTAAATACAGGATATTTACTGTATATCTGGAGAAGTTACCCAAGAAAGTGGGTATTTGGACCAGGGTTTGATTTCATTTAGAAAATCCTAAGGGAGAGTCTGTCTTTGTTTCTCATTCCTTTGCCTTTGCTCCTTGACTGGACTCACTGCCCTCCTGTTGCCTTCTTGCACTTGCTCTCCTCCTTTATGTGTTAATTTTCTTTGCTCATTTTCTCCTCCAAGCAAATGTCTGTAAAGATTTTCATTAGCAATGTAGTACTTCCTTCATGCTGAGGGCCAAACGATGGATAAGAATTAAGAGGGAAATGAAACATTAACCAGTCTCATTCACCATATTTTGAACCAAGATTCAATAACCTAGAGGTTGCTATCATCTGACTTAATCTGCTCTACCAACAAGTATGCAATATGAACAGTGACTATTCATATGGTATTCATGCAATTAATAATTTGGCCATTCATAAGTAATAAATATAGTAGTTATAATTAATAATTTATCATAAGCCAATAACTTGCTAGCAACCCTTTCAGTTCCTGGAGCTCCCACCCTTAACAAACACCTTTCTTCTTTAAAACTTTTCACTCCACAGTAGACTTTTGTTGTAAATATCTAAAGTATAGATATCTAAGAATCTAAAGTACCTAACATATCCAAGTCTTTCATTTAGACCACATAGCAAAATGCCAGTTATATCTCATCACTAAAGTAATAGATTGACTGTAGTACATGCATTCTCAAAGTATGATTCCCTGCATGTACAATCTGTACACCCTAAGAGGATACCATCCCTGCTCTTTGAAGTGTTTACAATCTAGGCACATCCTGGACTGGACTAAAAATAGCTGGCGCAATCCCTTTTTGAAATAGAAGTACCCATGAGGTTAACACTTGCTCTTTGGACTGAGTATCTGTTGTGTGAGGGACTTTTGATTGACCCTAGTAGGCTCTGTGCCCTGTGCAGGGCTTGTCAGAAGCCACGCAGCTGTTGAAACTGCTTTGTGCTTTCACCAAGGTTGGATGAAGACTTAAAGCAGCCTGAAACTAGAAATATTATGATCTCCCATGCCTATATGGGAAGTCAAAGCAGGAACAACACTGGACCGGAACATTTTTCTGTTTTGGTGCCTTGTATGGTGATCCTTTAAGTTAGCAAAGAGGACACACATACACACACACATTAATCTGAGAGAGAAAAATGTACTATTTTGTATGTTATCCAAAGCATCCATACAATGAACGAGTTAGTTTTCATGACATTCAGCAGAAAAGCCAGGCTCTGTTTATTTGTCAGAGTTCTTTGGAGTGAGTGTGTGTGTGTGTGTGTGTGTGTGTGTATTTAAAGGTTGTGGGGGCTGGCAAGCCCAAAATCTTCAGGGCACACTGGCTGAGTGGAGAGAGACTCAGTTAGGACTTGCAGCTCTGGTCCAAATATGATTTGTGATTGAGGTGCTGGCATGTTGGGTTTCTTCCGAGGCCTCTCTTTGGCTTGTGAATGGACCTATGGCCTTCTCTCTCTATGTGTCTGTGTCCTAATCCCCACTTGTTACAAGGACAGCTGTCATTGGAGTAGGACCCATCTTAGTGACCTCAGTTTAATTATCTCTTGAAAAGCCTTATTTCTAAATGAAGTCACACTCAGAAGTATTGGGCTTTAGGACTTCAGCATGACATTTTAATTAATCAATTTTTTAAAAAATTATTTAGTTATAGATCAGAATTACAGAGTGTAGGGAGAGGGAGAGAGAGAGGTCTTCCATCTGCTAGTTCACTCCCTAGATGGCTGCAATGGCCAGGGCTGGGTCGGGCCAAAGCCAGAAGCCAGGCACTTCTTACAGGTCTCCCATGTGGGTGCATGGGCCCAGGCACTTGGGCCATCTTCCACAGCTTTCCCAGGAGCATTAGCAGGGAGCTAAATCAGGAGTGGGATTCAAACCAGTGCACATAAGGGATGCTGGGGCTGCAAATAATGGTGGCTTAACCTCTGTGCCACAGCACCAGCCCCAACATATGGCATTTTAGAGGGACACAATCCAGCCCCCAAACAGTCTCCTTTTCCACAGCATGTTTTTTTTCCTTTGAGGAAAGAACTAGAGTTGTCTCACAGGATGCTCACTCATCTCCCGTGTCTTCTTTGTCCTTGTCAGGAGGTGAGGACGAGCCAGAGGCCTTTGCTGTGCCCTCGGAAGCCTGCCACAAGTTCTCACTGAGCCACGCTGAGAATGGAGCGATCCACCCGGGAGCTGTGTCTCAACTTCACTGTTGTCCTTATTACAGTGATCCTTATTTGGCTCCTTGTGAGGTCCTACCAGTACTGAGAGGCCATGACACCCTCTTGGGATTGACTGAGACTCTGGAGCTGCCTGCTGTATGCCCTGCAGTCCCGCTGCTGTCATTGTCATGGGATGCCATTCTTGGCACCCACGGGCACCTCTGATCTGCACTCGCAATGTCTGACATGCCCTACTGCTAGGGTTGATTGTGTGTTCTTTTAAGATGCGGCTCTCAAGGGCTGCCAAGTGTTTGCCAGTGAGTGTCAGATTTATTCCCCAACTCTTACTGCAAATGTGTTAGACATGCCACAAGGTTAAAATTAAACTGGATTCGTAATGATATAGAATTGTAACAAGCCCCTGATCTGTCTCACCTCACAGCCCTTCAATCCACACTGTCTACAACCAAACTCTAGTTCAACCCAGCAGAAGAAATGTTACAGGAAGTCTTTGTCAGCCCTTATAGCTATCATGTGAATAAAGTTAAGTCAACCACAAAAACTACTTTTAGAATTTATTTTAGCTTCCGTGTGTGGCACAGTGTCTGACCCTTGGCTGGGATTGAAGTGACAAATGCCTCAGTATTTCTAGCATTTGAGATAAGCCAACTGCAGAGGATTTGAAGCCCAGTCAACTAAGAGTGTCACATTTCAAATAAGTCCGATGGCTCAGTGCTCCCTAGACTTTCCTCCTGAACTGGTCTCAAGGGCAGCAGGAGAATAAATCAATTCTACTCGGGGGTCTAGGGCCTAGCCTGAAGCTTCTGTTAAAAATGCAAAATTTCTTTGAAGTCTTGTGATTTATTTTTAGAATTCACAAGAACTCTTTCTGTTACCCTATATTATCTTCATGATTACTTTAATACAAATATTTAGAATTATTTACCACTGAGCAGAACTCAAACGAGAGTCATGTCTTTAACGTTTGATTGTTGTCATTATGTAAAATGAGCTCATCATTAATAAGCTACAGTTATGAAGAGAGAAAAATAGAAAATACAACCTTACATATATGCTATAAAGGAGACATATGAAATAGACATTTCTTAAGCATGTTGCTAGAATATTCCATGAGAGAACAAATCTGTTACTGTGCTAGTTCTGATGTGACCATGGAGAAGGGGAAATATCATTAAGCCTCCTCCTTCACTGCACCTTTCATGAAGGCATTCCTTGCCCAGAGTCCAATCTGTCACTGAGGCTTTGCCCACACAGCATTGTGATTCTCAGCCTGGCTGCACCCAAAGAAAGTCAATTTTAAGTCAGGGGTGATTTTTCAAAATCCTGATACTGGATCCGCTTCAGGCCAATTAAATAAAAATGTCAGGGGGTAGGACCTAAGCACCTGAGGTCCTGTAGAGGATTACATGGGGTAGCCAGAGTTGAGACTCACTGATACCAGCGCTTACTTCTCAAGTACTGATGTGACTGTGAATCACCCAAAGTCCTATTTAAATGCAAATTACAATTCAGTTCTGAATCTGATTCAATCCCCGGGTGGGGCCTGAGAGTCTACATTTCAGACAAGCTTCTAAGTGATGTCAGTTCCACAAATGGCTACACTTGGATTAGCACATTAGGATTACCTGGAAACTCCTAGAAAAACACCAAGCTTCAGCCTATTTCTAGAAGCTGCTACTTCAATAGGCCTTAGAAGGACTCCAGGTGATTCTAATGTGTAGCCAGGATTAAGAATCTTATTTAATGAAACAAAACTGTACTTTGCAAGAAATTCCCAACAAAAGTTGGGAAATAGCAGTGTATGGTCCTCAATATTCTGTCCCTAATTACAGAGTTAGAGAACACATATGCACGTGCAACTGCTAATGATTCGGTAGGCAGCACACCTACTAATGGGCATGCCTAGGGCCTTTGGCAGATTGTTAGCAGTCTTTCCGTTACTTAAAGAAAGCATCAGAAGCTCTACCAGTATTTGCGGGTTTGAGAACATGTGCATGTGGTGATAGGAGGGAAATGGTAGAAGAAATGATACAACAGTCCTTCAGGCTCTGGCCTCTCACTAAAGTCTGTGCCCTGGTTCCCACACTTAGAGCACGTGCCATTTATTGGGTCTGCTGTATGTAAAGCCCTGTGCTAGGCACTTTCCATACATTATATCCTTAGCATATGTGGGAGCTAAGGAGCAGAGCCTTCATTAATCAGGTGTAAGAGGTAAAATTAGCATGACCACAATATCATCTTTGTTTAAAAAAAGATTTATTTATTTATTTGAAAGTCAGAGTTACACAGAGAGAGGAGAGGCAGAGAGAGGAGAGATCTTTCATCTGCTGGTTCACTCCCTAGTTGGCTGTAATGGCCAGAGCTGCGCTGATCCAAAGCCAGGAGCCAGGAGCTTCTTCTGGGTATCTAATGCAGGTGCAGGGGCCCAAGCAGTTGGGCCATCTTCTACTGCTTTCCCAGGCCATAGCAGAGAGCTGGATCAGAAGTAGAGCAGCCAGGATTCAAACCAGCACCCTTATGGGATGTCAGCACTATAGGCAGCAGCTTTACCCACTATGCCAAAGCACTGGACCCAGTATCATCTTTTTTTTTTTTTTTTTTTTTGATAGGCAGAGTGGACAGTGAGAGAGAGACAGAGAGAAAGGTCTTCTTTTGCCATTGGTTCACTCGGCGGCTGGCGCACCGCGCTGATCCAAAGCCAGGAGCCAGGTCCTTCCTCCTGGTCTCTCATGGGGTGCAGGGCCCAAGGACCTGGGCCATCCTCCACTGCACTCCCTGGCCACAGCAGAGAGCTGGCCTGGAAGAGGGGCAACCGGGCCAGAATCCGGCGCCCCGACCGGGACTAGAACCCGGTGTGCCAGCGCCGCAAGGCAGAGGATTAGCCTATTGAGCCGCGGTGCCAGCCTAGACCCAGTATCATCTTAATCTCTGTTGGGGACTGCATGCAAATCATGCTTCATTGTAGATTTCTGATTTCCAAACCATTTGATTATCTTTTAAGTTTTGCCCCCAGATTCTCCAGTCTTCTAAACTACCAACCTAATTAGATAAAGTTGACAATTGTAATTCTCCGTGTAATTTCTCTGCCAATTTTCACCTCCGCTATTTCCCCAACTTCCTGTGACTGGATCTACAGATAGGTCCCATTTGCAAACCACATAATGTTCCACCTTTGTAGGGGTAAGATACCCACTAATGATGTCACTTGTGGGGTTACGAGTTACGTCTATGTCTTTCACACTTCGAATGCCTAGTCATGAGGGCTAAATCCCTGACTCATGAGACTCCTTGTATGTATAACCTTGCCCGGGACCTTGGGTCTCCTGAATCATCATAGTACTGTCAATGTTATCCACATCCACTCAAAGCCTGCCTGGCCACCTCAAATATATGCTAATTCTCTGGAACCAGAACCAGAGTGCTGAAGCCCAGTTGTTATTTCAAAAACCAGCCCGTCACCTTGACCTTACACTAGCTTCTTTCTCTTTAGTCCATTCACTCATTCAGCAACTTCTTATTTTGAAACTGACATGTGTTGGGCATTGTACTAGACATTAGGGATAAAACAAAAAAATAGATAAAACCCATTCACAGGAAGGCTGTGATTTGTGGGGGAGACAAGTATTGGAGTGCTGTGGGGGAGATTTGAGGCAAAAGGGACATCACAAACAATGACTCAAAGGTCAGAGAACATGACGAATTTACGATATTGAAAGTATCTGCATGGTTGAAGCAGAGAAGGTCTCTCCAACCACTGGCACTAGTTATGGCACAGAAGGCCAAATCTGGTGATTCTGACCATGTCACTTTGACTTCCAAGTTGGAGCATTTCTGGGATCCCTGTCCATCAGGCTTCAGTCACTGGGAGGGACCTCCTGCCACCAAAATTATTTGAAACTATGTCTGTGGTCACACAGAGCTTGGACAATGGGTCTTGGGTCACACAGTTACAGCCAGGTCAGTTCTCTCTACTTACCATGTCACCCTGTTGAGCAGCTCTCTGTTGGGTGATGTTTCCCTCTTCTTGCCATAAATCTTAGGGCATCTTGTGGTTGAGCTGCCCACATTTAATGCCAATCATTTGAATCAAAAAATACATTTTACAGTTCTGGTTTAGATTTTTCAATCTAGTGTTCTCTAAAATCACTAAATTGGATATTTTCTGGAATGTACCATTTTGTATAACTATTATGTTGAAATAAACACACAGGCTTTTATGGGTTTCTGATAGTCCCAACATCTTATCTAGTCTCTATCTCCCCTCCCTGGGGCTACCAAATAATGGCTTCATAAGACACAAGAAATTTTCCAGATAATCCGTGGCCTAAGCACATGGCTCTAAGAGAAGAGCTCCAAGGTACGCCAACCCGATAAGCTCTCCTAATCATGTTTCTATGTTTGCTCCATTGACCTAGGCAGGAGTATGTGAAAATGGTCATGAAATTGTAGTTCTTCCATTGTTTTCTAATTTAATTTGGGGCTCTCAATCAATGTAGAGGACATATCAAGGGGATGTCTTCACTGTCCCTTTTGCCATAAGTCTTAGGGTGCCACACTCAGCCCCCAGCCACCCCATACTTATATGGGATTTCCCAACGCCTTCTTCAGTGGGCAGAGTATATCTGTTTCTACCTGGAAATCCCACTACATAGAATCCTGTCTCTAATGCCTAGAATACCCCAGAAAGTACTTAGCAACAAAATAAATTAGTTCTGCTCCCTTTCCTTCTGGTATGCTCTCGGGTATATTTTATAATTTTTCCATTTTCAAAATATTTAAAATTTTTTTGTGGTCGATAAGACCCTTCTTAGCTGATCTGCCTGTAGATTCTCTGGTTTCCCTGTCCCACAGGCCTTCCTTCCACTCTCATTCCCAACCACTTCCTGCCATCTGTAATTTCCAAGCCGTCTAAGCTCTCCTCCACCGCAGTGACCTTGCACAGCTATTCCTTTTATCTGAATGCCCTAATCAAGTCCTGCTCATTGGTTTAAGATCGCCATCCAGTGTTATTACTCTTTTGAAATTACACCAGATAATTCCCTCTCTGGGCCTCATGCCTAACCACATTCATAGCACTTATCACATTGCGTTGTGCATCTTTCTCATGTGTGTTTCTTGTCTAATAGCGTTCTCCCATATGCTTGATTGTTGTCCCTAGCTAACCCATCATCATCACCATTGGATAAGTATCAGTTGAACACACCATTTACTGTTTGGGTAGGTATAAAAATCTTTGAACTAGACATGTACTCACTTCTGTGACCAAGTGCATGGTTTATGTTCACTGAAGTACAATTTTAAAAGAGGCATGAAAAAAGTTCTAGAACCAAAAGTTTCAATACATTAATGAGCAAACCAAACTTCTTTTTAAACTTTAGGCAATTGAAACAGTTTTTCCAAAGGCAGTTTGCTTCTATATGAAATATTCATAATGCTTGTTTCTTTTGATCTGTCTCTATCAACATCCTGAACAATTTGACGATGTTTATGAATTACTCATCAAAGCCCAAAGTGTTGAGCATATTTTCAAATTCATCTACAAAC